TAATAAAGCGAAGAATATATTCCAGGAACAACTAGAAAGAGATTTAAGCAACCATGTAAGCTATTCCGATCCGGAAGCAGGTTGGAATGATATCCAAAAGGCTGTGGAAACAGCACTGATAACTGCAAGTAAGGTAAACCATAAGGCTAGGATGAAGCCGTGGATCTCAGTAGCATCTACCGAACTGATGGATGCTCGAAAACTCATCCCGCCTGGCTCTGAGGAGCGGAGTCAGCTTAGATGTAGGCTGATAAAAAGCTCACGTAACGACCGCGAACAGTGGTGGGTGGAGAAAGCAAAAGCGATGGAAAAGGCAGCGGCGATCGGCAACAGTCAGTCAGTCAGTCAGATGCAACGTAGAACTTCGTACGTAAGTACATCAGTTCATGTTTGCCATACTTACATCAGCACAGAGATGTAATTGTCAATTCAAATCCAGTAGTAGTAGAGGTAGTAAGGGAATTAGAAGTAATCGGAGAGGTTACGAGTTAGAAGCTACTATTCAAGAAGTATGATTCAGTGAGAAAAGTTTAGAGACTAGAGGTTTTGAAGAATCCAAAAGATTAGGGTTTGAAAGAACACGAAGAATAGAGGCATCTGTGCCATTGTAAACGACTTTGAGCCATGTCATTCAAGGTCTCTAACCATCGATTATTATCATCTCGCGGATCCCAACCAGGTAGTCGACAATTACCGACATGGCTCAGTCCACTAGTCAATGACTTCATGGATTTCTGCCATGTTTTGGTCTGGCCGCCCCTAGCTTTCTTCCAACCTACTCCTACACTACAAAACAAAGTTCGTCGAGGCAGTCGGTGGTTCGGCATACGCAACACATGTCCCAACCACCTCAACTGATGAAGTTTCACCACTTCATCTATTGATCTGCCATCCTTGCCTAGCACCCGTTTCCTAACGACAGCATTGCTTACTCGGTTGTCCCACGGTATACAAGCAATGCTTCGAAGACACCTATGATCGAAAACCAGTAACCTACGAATATCTTCTACTCTCACTGGCCATGTTTCACAGCCATATAGGAGAACGGAGCGAACTGCTGCACAGTACACTCGTCCTTTGATTAGAGAACGGATATCCAGCCTACGCCATAAGTGACGCAGGTTGGCAAAAGTCAATCGAGCCTTCTGTATCCGAGCTGAGATTTCGTCAGTCACCAGGCCATCAGCACTGATGAGACTCTCAAGATAAGTGAAGCGGTCTACACCGTCGACTACTTCACTCCCTATCACTAGTTCAGGTGCCGATGAAACCCAATCTTGAAGCAACATTTTGCATTTCGAGGTGGAAAACCGCATCCCGAACATGCTCGCATTGTTGCTTAAGGTGTGCAGAAGACTGCACTTTGTCAGCGTCTTCACCAAGTGGGACTATGTCATCGGCATATTCTAATTCAATAAGCGAGCCTCCTGGTCGAAGGTCTACTCCTGAAAATTCAGATGAGGATAAGGTTATTTCTAGGAGCATGTCAATGATAAAATTAAACAAGAATGAAGAGATTGGCAGCCCTGACGCATACCACTTGATGTAGAGAATTCAGATGACAGTTCTCCATATGCTCTCACTTGACCAGTGGTGTTCGAGTAGAGAGCTTGTATGAGGTTAATGTACTTCTTTGGTACACCTTTCAATGACAGACACTGTCACAGAACCTCACGATCCACTGAGTCGAATGCCGCATTTTTGTCCAGGAACACGACTATTGACGGACGTCTAAATGTGTGTCTATGTTCCAGGACCTGTGGTCTATACAACCACGTCCAGGTCGAAACCAGACTGGTTTTCTCTAGTCTGCTCTTCACGAGCGCTAGTTAGACGTCTAAGTATAATGGAGGCTAACAATTTAGATACTATATTAGTTAGACTTATTCCCCTGTGATTGTCACGAGAGGACTTTTGTCCTTTCTTGTAGATTGGGACAGTCAAGGATTGAGACCAGTCGGATGGGATTACGTCCAGTTCCCAGATTCTACCTAGGATCTCGATCAATCTAACTGTTAAAACTGGACCACCATCCTTAAATATCTCAGGGGTCAGTCTATCAGGACCTGCAGCTCGTCCTCGTTTCAGATTTCCTAACGCTTTCTCAACGTCATTAAGACTAGGGGGTGGGATGCGTCAGAGTCAGGTGGGATGCGTTTTCGAGCATCCATCAGTTCGGTGGACGCGACTGATATCCACGGCTTCATCCTAGCCTTATGGTTTACCTTACTGGCAGATATCACTGCTGTTTCCACAGCCTTTTTGATATCATACCAACCTGCTTCTGGATGGGAATCACTTACATGGTTGCTTAACTCTCTTTCTAGTTGCTCCTGAAATATTTTCTTAGTTTGATTATCATTAAGTAAACCCTAAGAGGCTTTCTTACGGTGTCTTTCCTACGTCCAGTAAGCCTCAACTAGATACGAGCTCGCACTAGAGCATGATCTGAATCCAAACATGTGCCCCACAACGAGCGACAGTCTTCTAT